CATTTCCAACCTTGGATATCTGGGCTGGACCCGGAAAGAAATGTGTACACACCAGAAATCAAAGGAATTAAAATAATAATATTCTTGAGAAAGAATTTTTTATTCTCGCCGCACAGAACCAATAAAAATTACTAAGCACACATACTGAAAAATCGTGTTACTCCAAAATGCAGATTCTGTGATAAATATCCAGAAACAATTGACCATCTTGTATCAGGTAGCATGGTATTGACACCCACTGAATTTAAAATACGGCACGACAGAGTGGGCCAATGACTGCACTGGAAAATTTGCAACTTCTACGAGAAGGAAACTGAAAGAAACTGGTATGAACAACACCCAGACCCGGTTACCGACCTGTTACAATTCTATGGGACTACACAATACACAGTGACAGAACAATCAAAGCCAACCACCCAGACATTGTTATTAAAGACCACAAACAAAAAAATTGCCTCCTTATTGATATGGCAGTCCCTGCAGACTGCAATATATCATTGAAGATATTCAAAAAGCTGTCAAAATACAAGGACCTTGAAACAGAAATTTCAAAAATGTGGCACATGGGAACATCAACAGTCTCTGTTGTAGTTGGAGCCCTAGGATTGGTTGAAAAAGATGCCATTTCTAACCTTAGGTCTCTGGGAGTGACCCGGAAAGAAATGTGTAAACGCCAGAAAGCAAACGAAATAAATATAATAATAATAATCTTGCTAGGAAGGTTTTATGCTGCACAGGACCAATGCTTACTAACTAGAAATTACCAAGCACACATACTGAAAAATCGTGTTGCTCCAAAATGCAGGTTCTGTGATAAATATCCAGAAACTATTGACCATCTTGTATCAGGTAGCACGGTATTGACACCCACTGAATTTAAAATACGGCACGACAGAGTGGACCAATATCTGCATTGGAAAATCTGCAACGATTACAGAAAGGAAACTGCAAAAAATTGGTATAAACACCAACCAGACTCGGTTACAGAACCGTAAGAATTTTATGGGACTTTACAATACACAGAGAGAGAACAAAGCTAATCACCCTGACATAATGATTAGAGACTGCAAAGACAAAACATGTCTCCTTATTGACATGGCAGTTCCTGCAGACTGCAATATATATTTGAAGATTCTCAAAAACTATCAAAATACAAGGACCTTCAAATCGAAGTAGTGGTTTCGGTGAATTATGGCTGAAGTGCATTTAGGGGTGAAGCAGAGTTGAGTGGTTTTTGCTGGAATTTGGGGGACATAAAACTCTCCATTTCAGAAAGGATCCAATCAGTGACAATGGCAGCAGTTTTTGATGCAGCATGCTTGAAGATGGTTGGGAGGGGAGATCCCATCATAAAGGTTTGAAAACCATCTCGGTTTGCCTTCCCATAGCGAAAAATCGTTCTATGGAACGGTACATCAGCGGATGCCTTAAGTTTGGCTTCAATCTGGACACTGCTTAGGGAATGGTCTGATGTGCCTGGTGGAGGTAAAAGTTTTGATAGGCATTTAAAAGGACAGGAGGTTAGGAAGAGGTCGAGGAGGTTCGCCTGATGTCCCGTCTTGTCTGGGACCCGGATAGGTTCTCCGATGATCTAGGTAAGTTTATAGGCTGTAGAGAAGTCTCTGCAATATATGCCTTCCTCATCGGTTTTGCTAGAGTGGACTAGCCACTTTTTATGGTGGATATTGAAGTCAACGCAGATATAAAAGCTGGCCGAGGTGAAATGAGTGAGGATATTACCATTCTTCTCAGATGTTCGCCACAAAGAAAGCCATCCTTGATGCAGGCTTCGAGTCCGTGTGCGTGGCGATTTAGGTGGTCATGTTTGGCTATGAGAGATGAGCAGCTCGGGACACTGAACTCACCTAGTGCAAATGAGAAAGTAGAAGGGGCTCTGGTTTAAATTGGAGAAGATTGTTCTTCTTGGAGAGAGTCGCCCAGTGATACGAACGTAGCAGTACCATTCATCATGGCATCGAGGGTCCCCACCAGATATTACTGCACGATCTAGAAACCATTCACAAAATGGCAGTACAGCAGCCTCGATATTATACCCCTGCTGATAGGAGAGCCTCCTTCTGAGTTTCACGAAGGTTCGGATGCCTGACTATGAATTGGATAATGCCAAAACCCAGAAACGTCTACCTTCAACACCCTTAATGAAGGGAGAATCAACCCAGGAAAGAAAATACATGTGTCATGCTCCGAGTGGACATGTTGCATCAGCCCAAATGTAAAGGCAAGAAGATTCCTCCTTGGGTCAGAAACATCGTACCAGTCCGCGACTTAAAGGCACAGAGACAAACCCGCTCATGTACTTGAGGACGAAGGAGCTCAATGGAAGAAGCAGGGATGACGAGGGTTGCAAGGGGCTGCATGTGCATCCTCCCCGTGCAACCCATTTTCATTATTATATTAGATGGGCGGGGACCGGCAAAGGACAAGTCATCTATTCATGAGTAAAAACAAAATCAGGCTTACAAAAGGAGAAGCATGATGGATCGGAGGAAAGGTTATGTACAGGGTGTCTGAGACAGCTACAAAGTTTTAATGTCTTAAAATTTTAATTTAGGATAAGTCAAAGTATCCACTTTTGGGGGGTGGGGGGTGAATAGATTCAAACGTCAGTAACCCACGCTAGATTTACTTCTGCTAAATATCTGGGCCAAAACAATCCATAAATTAATCTGTGGTAATTTATGCAGACGTTAGCATGCGCGCGCATATATATATATATATATATATATATATATATATATATATATATAAAAAAAAAAAAGACATTTTTATGTTTATACATTCTTTTTATAGATAGAAATATTTAAGTAAATGCTCTGTTTAGCATTAAACATTTACCGCCCTAAATGCCCGAGAAATTTTCATCGAAAGAATTCGTCCTCCGACAGGAATCGAACCTGTATCATATACAGAACCATCCTATCGCCTGACGTGCCTTAACCGTTTCGGCCACTTAGCAAGGTCGATTTTACTGTCTTTAAACTCCAATCTTCCATGATTCTCTCACTTACATATCTGCTCAATGCGTATCCAAATGTAAACAAATGACGTCATACATTATAAAATGGAAAAAGTCAGACAATTATTTTAAGATATTTTAATGTTTATACATTCTTTTTATAGATACAAATATTTAAGTAAATGCTCTGTTTATAAGAAACGCTATTAAACATTTACCGGCCTGAATGTCCGAGAAATTTTCATCAAAAATATTCGTCCTCCGACAGGAATCGAACCTGTATCCTATACGGAATCGTCGTCGAGCCTGACGTGCCTTAACCGTTTCGGCCACAGAGGAGCGTTCGGTTGGCAAGGCCTACTTACATTGGGAAAGGTATGAATCCATCTCTTCTCCCTCCAGTTATGGGTCCTATAGCCTTGGTTGGCAACCATTTTATCACAGTAAGAAACGGCAACCTACTACGGTGAAATCTCTGCCTAGTCAGTCAATCGAAAGCGACATGATTACCAAAGCGTGTATCATGTATGGCATTTAAGTGAATACCTGAAAATAATTTCAATTAGTTAATCTGCGCCTGAAGAATGCAATACTTTTTGCAAAACTTGAAGTTTGTAAGATAAAATTTTTAAACATATTTTTATTGATTAATTCTCTATTTATTAATAGTGGGCACTTTATTTATAGAATATCTGTTGTGTTAAAAGCGTTATCTTCGAGTAATATACTAGTCGACGTCGAAAACAATCTTTTTTACTATTATATACTAACCTAGAAGCCGCACTTTGGGCGAAATTTTAACCTAGGCCTGTGGAAGGCTTTTGGGCCTTTGGCCTTTTACCTACGTAAAAGTTATAAGAACTTAGAAATAATTAAATCATTTTATCTTTATTCGGAACCTTAATTCGGCATAATCTTTCTTCGTATACGCAACCGATCTCCGTAGTTTGTTTACATTTATTTGGCACGTAATTTTTATGTTCTTTTAGAATCACCATTTTTTTTATAATACCTTCATATAAAGTCATTCTTAAAAGACATTAGGAAACCCGAACTATGTAATATTTCGAATACGTCAAAGTACGCGTGCTAGAAAAAGAAAAAAACAAACATATGAGCAACGTACCGTGCTCCTGATTAAGTTTTAATTAGACGATATCAATTGGAATTAAAACGAAAAATGTAATTAAAGTTAAACCTTTGATAAAGAATTGTTTGTTTTTTAACCTTTCATTATGTTCTATATTTAAATTTAACTTTAAATGAATTATTTATTTAATTTTTAATCATCTATAACTACAGTAGTTGCTACCTGTTACTTCTGGTTGTTTATAAATCGCTGAGATGGAAAAACGGGCGGACACATGTACTCTTTATTTTATTTATATAGAAAGATATAATTCAAAACCAAACCGACAAATTAATTATTGGCCCTAAAACGGGTATACGCTCAGTGGAATTTCAAATAAGGAAAATACAAAGTAATTTAAGACATAAAATTTCGTAGAAAAACTTGCCCTTCACCCCGGTGTCTTCAAGCAGTAAACTAGATTTTACATCTGACTTCCATTCTACAACACTTTCATATATATAGATATATACTTTTGTTACAGATTAGAGAGAGAGAGAGAGAGAGAGAGGTGAGAGAGAGGGAGAGAGGGGGGTGAGAGAGAGGGAGAGAGAAGGGGAGCGAAAGAGGGAGAGAGATAGAGGGAGAGAGATAGAGGGAGAGAGGGGGGGAGAAAGAGAGAGAATATTTTATGTTTTAAATTGCTTTGTATTTTCTTTATTTAAAATTGCATTGAGCAATTTTTATTCGAAACCCATTTTGGGGGGCAATAATTATTTTGTCGATTTGGTTTGGAATTGAATTATATAAAGGACAGAGTGAAATAAATATCTACGTAAGTCAACCGTTCCTACTCTGATTTCACTGTATTGAATCAACTGGAAATGTTTTGGAATTGTTCTGAAGTTTACAAGTGAACAAAAATTGATTATTGCCAAAGTTGATCAAATCTGCCTATATCTGATAGATAATGAAATGAACAATATGGATAGATATATAGATAGATAGACAGTGGCAGAAGCAAGATAGATAGATAGATAGATAGATAGATAGATAGATAGATAGATAGATAGATAGATAGATAATAAAAGAAGCAAGATGGATAGATAGACAATAAAAGGAGCAAGATAGATGGATAAATAGATAATAAAAGGAACAAGATAGATAGATAGATAGATAGATAGATAGATAGGCAATAAAAGGAGCAAAGATAGACAAATAGATAGATAAACCGATAGACCATAAATGGCGTAAGTTAGATGGAAAGATAAACAGATAGACAATAAAAAGAGCAAGATGGATAGATAATGAAAGGAGCAAGATTAATAAATAGATAATAAAAGGAGATAGATAGATAGATAGATAGATAGATAGATAGATATATAGATAGATGGAATATGGAGATATATACAACTGTTGCTGATGAGGAAGCGAGAAAGAGAGAAAATAATTTGTTTTAAATTTAAATTGGAATCAACTGGAAATGTTTTGGAATTGTTCTGAAGTTTACAAGTGAACAAAAATTGATTATTGCCAAAGTTGATCAAATCTTTAAAAATCAGCATATAAAACCTTGTTTTTGCTGACAGGTAGGGATTTGCTTTTTATGTCGGAAAGAGATAGAGAGATAATGAACGGGGCGAGCTAGAGAGATACATAATGAACGGACGAGACAGACAGATAGATAGATAGATAGATAGATAGATAGATAGATAGACGGCACAGGATAGATAGATAATGATTAGAACGAATATTTTATGTAGTATACATATACATATATATATATATATATATATATATATATATATATATATGACACTATAAAGGTCACTAGCGGTAGTTGAAAGGATGGTGACACTATCGTGTCTCTGGTAGTTTGGAATTAAGGTTAAACGGGTTCATGCGAAAACCCTGTATAGAATTTGGGCGTTGGAAGAGTTGAAAACGTTAATGTGAGAAAAAAATATGAAGCAAGGTAAAAAAAAAAGGGACATTGTGTTTTTCTTTCTTTCTGATAAACAGAAACGCACATAAGAAATGTTATGAGTCCCCGAAAAAGGACGGAGTGGAAAACAGTAAAAAAAATTTAATTTAATTTAAATTTAATTTAATTTAATTGATGTTGGTAATTGAAGGTCATTGTCGCCCGAGGATCGAATTTAAGTAAAACCAAAAATGCAAACAATGGAAGTAGGTCGGATGTGAAGATCGACAAACAAAAGAATTTACCGATTTGAAATATTTTTTAAACACACAATTTTGTTGACGGAGAAAATTATTGTTTGATAAAACTGCCAATTGCCGAGAAACGAGGAAAGAAAATTTATGTTTTGAAATACTAGACTGTTTTGTTTAGGGTCGATGTCATATCTCCAGAGCTGGAGAAATTAATTAATTGAGGAATACGTAATGAGCTTTGAGGGGTAATGAGAGTTGGGCGAGATTCATATAAACCCAACGATAGTTTCAAGCCGGCAAAGGCTGAGACGAATCAACAACGAACAATGGAGCTGTTGAACCCCACGTGACCTGCCGTAGAAGTTGCTCAACCTAAAATATCGTGTGAATGTTTAACCCGATTCAAGTTTCAGAAGCAAGAGTTACAATGTCATGATAGAGAGTCAAACGGGAAATGTTAATTTTGTTGTATCAACGATTATATAAACTAAATGAAAATTAACCCAGCGTCCTTCTTCGTTATTTATTTACGAACTTGTAGCATACAGGGGAACGACGGTTTTTTTAAGAAAAGAAAATGTGGGATCTTTTCTCGGTCTTCACTCAGGAATGGAAGCGACACGAGGAAGTTGACGAAAAGCAGACGCAAGACGATGGATTTCAAAATAAAACATTTATTTATAAATACATAAAAAGGTAAAGAAAGAAAAAGAAAATTCATTTAACAAAGGGGAAGGGGATCATGAAAGAACAGAAGGTACGAGCGAATATATATATATATATATATATATATATATATATATATATATATATATATATATAAAAGATCAAGCCAAGAAAATCAACTCATCTGTCAGTCGAGTTGATATTTCCACACAAAATTCTAATTCGTCGAAGCGTAAGTTCTTATGTTAAAACGATATTTTGGTCGGCCGGCAACTTTTCTGGGTTCCTTTTCACCGCAAATGGTAGGGGTTCCACAGCATCTCGCACAGGCGTTTCATTGGTCGATTCAGTTTCGTAGCAGTCCTTTCGTTCTCTAGTCGACAGACTTTGTTGTCTTCTTCATTTCGGTGGGCAGTCCATTTGGAATCGGGACGTTTCGCCTAGCGATGTTCATCTGCCACTGGTCAGACGGAAACTGAAAACCTTTTTTTTAGATTTTTGCTGTCCCCAAAGATAGTCATATGGGTTTTCTTCGTCCTTGACCGGGTACGTAGGAGGATAGGGCGCAAATTACGAAGTGTTTGCGTTATGGCCAAAAATTTAACCAACCCTCAGTAGGGTCTGATTACGTGAATCGCAGCAGGAGATCCTGATGGTGCCTGGAATTCACTTATGGTCAAACGCCTGATAGCCGCGGGATTTTGGAACCAGGTCATTCTCGGGTTGGGTCGCTTCAAAGTTCACGAGCCCTTGGCTTGTGGATGGAAGTGTAGGTAAAGAGGGAAAGAATTTGTGAGGAGAAGAGGAGGGTATGGCTGATTATAAAACATATTCGCTTGCAAGTTGAAAGCATTGGATTTTATCTATCTATATTTATTTATTTATTTTTTTTATATCTAACTAATTTTCGACTAGGATTTGGTGTTCTTTCTTTGAGGTTTTTTTTTAGACTTACGCCTGTGTATGGTTAATGAAATCGTAGGTACGTCACATATGATATTTATGTTTTCACCGGTGGAAACATTCTTGTCCTTTTTCATAGAATGATCCCGACAGAAATAATACTCATCGATACCTTTGATAAAATTGCTTAAAAATAGTAATAAAAAATATTACTTGTAAAAGATTTGAATTCATCATCTCTACAAGTAAATATTTTATGGATTTTTTATTCATTTATTAATCCAACAGATTTTTTATCACTTTAAACGCTATTTTTAGTGGATGCCCATATTTAAGTAGAGGTTCGTTTTTTTTTGTTATTTTTAAAAATTTTTCGCCTATCGGCTGGAGGACGAACATTTTTCTTTAATTTCTTAGATTTCTCGAATATTAAAAGAAGATAAATATACAAACAGATCGTCTACTCAAATAAGGGTATCCACTAAAAATAATGTTTAAAGTGATAAAAAAATCTAAAAAAAAATTATTACTTCTTCAGAAATTACAACTCAAATTTGGATACTAAACTGAACAGATATAAACTTTTGAGAATCTGAGACAAGAAGGACTTGTGCTTAACCCTTTCCCAGGGCTTGTCAATGCAAATAGATTTGTTAAAATCCTATGGATGAAATGGCCATCTGTATGGGGTAATTTGTTTGGGCTTCATTGATTGTAATTCACACACACACACATATATATATATTTAGTTGTAGGGTAGATAAATGAAACGGCCAGATATACCTGACGTACCTATTCTATTAATAGACTCTCCCACACATAATAAGTAGTAGTAGTAGTAGCGGTTGCCAGTTGGACTCAGTGGTGTTGAGTGAGTCAGTCGATGTCGGACATTGGAGTATCAACCATCACAACTAGATTGCTGCGTCATTAACTCTTATTTCAAGTTCCTAACGTTTTGTACGTTGGACTCTTTTAGGACAGACTTAGTGAAATACAAGCCTCCACTGTGAAAACTACTCTACAACAATAAGCAAACATGTACGCGTGTGCTGGTGTGTATACGCGGGCAAGCAAATAAATAATCGTTAAATTTATACATGAGGTGTAAACGTGATAGTGTTCGATACGGTTATACAGAGCAGAGATATATATTAATTAGTACATATAGTGATTTTCTAAGCGCTGCTTAGATGTGGCACAAAGCCGGAAGTATGGAGCACCCAGTGAGGATCGAACTCACTACTCAGTCGTAATTGTTCTAGCGAGACAAGCTTGCTAACCATTACACCACGCCGAAGTGGCCATTAATTAGTACATATATGTGTACCTACGTTTTGGTGTGCGACTATAGTTTCGCAATGATGTTCGTATTAATACATAATTTATGTGTAGATTAATTTCGGAGTTAAACCTAAATATTTTATATTAACACTGTCTCAGTATTCAAGACTATGTAAGAATGTTTTGTAATAATAAGTGATTTTTCCCCCCAGAAATCAATTTAGAAATAAGAAGCTTCATCGTTACGTTATCGTGGATTGATAACTTTGTCTTTCGTTTGTACTTTGATCTGCTCCTGGGCAATGAAGCTTTTATTTTTACAGAGTTCTTTGACTGCATTGATAAGGTTTGCATGAATATGCATAGATTTAAAAATAAATAAATAAATAAATAAAAAATTACCGGATGTGTAGCAAATCACTTGCTAAATTATAATGCATTATGTGTAAGAACTGAATGTGAAGAAGTTCCGTACATTTTTTTAAAAAAATTCGAAGAGATTTACGCGAATCGTAAAAAAAGAAGAAAAGAAAATGGACGCTACATTAACTATCAAAACATTGTAGAAAGAATACTAAGTTGATACGATGTCAAAAAATGTAATTTTCTTTCTTTCTTTTATAGCTTGACTAATTTTAGCTATTTTCTTTTTTTGTAATTCCTTCCTTTCTTTCTTTCTTTTTTCTTTCTTTCTTTCTTTCTTTCTTTCTTTCTTTCTTTTATAGCTTGATTGATTTTTCTTGTTTTCATTCATTCATTCATATATTACTTCTTTCTTTTATATCTCGATTACTTTTTCTTTCGTTCATTCTTTCTTTCTTAGTTTGCGTTTATTTTGTTCTATTTTTATACACTTTGCTAAAAGGAAATCTACTTTTACCAGCGAAATGGAGACGTCCTTCGTAAAAAAAAAAAAAAAATGGAGGGAGAAACAGAGAAAAATAATGGAGAAATAAGGAAGCCATTGTTGGAAGGTATACAAAAGAAAACAGAATGAAACAAAAGAAAATGAAACGACATTAATTCTCTAAATAGCACAGGAAAAAAAAAACTCTACAGAAAATAAACTCTTTTGTTTGGTAATGAGACTGATGCAACTGTTTGTGTGTGGGATCATATGTGAAGGTTTAGTGGTAGAACGCTGATCTAAACGCGTTTAAGATTTAATAAAACTCTCTAAAAATAGTGGTTGTTTTAGAATGCGATCTGTTATTGTCACTACTAACGGTGGTGGAGGTTATAATGACGGATAATGATAATGTTGATAAAAAAAGTACGAAACTAATAATGAAAGCTAATGGTGAAAAATGATGATAGTGATGGAAAACGATGGTAAGTTTGAGAAGTTGAAAGAGGATGCAAAAAAAGAAGAGGAAGAAAAAAAAAGATTAAAAGTGAATAAAGAAAGAAGAAAAGTGAAAAAAAAAAAAAAAACAGGCCGGTTAAAAATATTCTAAAAGCACGAAGAGATAAAGGTTAGGGGAAGGCAAATCTAAGATCCTAAAATTAAATAGAGGGTAAAAATAAAAGACATCAAGAAATATATCAAATTTAAATTACACAGTTCGAAAATTGAATTTCTTTGTGGATCTCGAGAAAGATTAAAATGGATTCTGAAATCTGCATATTCTTAGCAATTTCTGTTTTTTTTTTATTCGGGAAAGCTTTGAACTGAGCATAATAGTGAAAAAAAAAGAAGAAAAATGACAATTTAAAGAGAGAGAAAGAGAGGGAGAAAGAGAGAAAGAGGGAGGGAGAGAGAGAAAGGTAGAAAGAAAAAAAAAAAGGAAGTTGAAATAGACAAAATTATGACGTTATCAGGCGCTTATCGTCCGCTTCAGTGAAATGGAAATAAGGAAGAAAGGAGGAAAATAGAACAGAACGGAAAATGTCAAAGGAACAAGAGAAAAAAGAAAGAAATAAAAAAAAAAGGTTAAAATTTTCAGGCGCATAACGTCTGCTTCAATGAAATGGAAATAAGGAAAAAAGGAAGGAAATAGAAAAAGGAAAAAACGAGAGAAAGAAAGAAAGAAAGAAAGAAAGAAAGAATAGAGGAAGCGATATCGCTTATCAGGCGCTTAACATCTTCTTCAGTGAAATGGGAGTAAGAAACAAAGAAAAGAGGAAGATAGAAAAGAACGAAGAAATTGAGAAAGAAACGGAAAAGAAAAGAAAGAAAGAAACTGTGTGAAAGGGAGAAAAGTTTCGCCCATTGGAGTCTGGCGTATGAATAAAACATCGCTAAATCCTTTGTAGCAGCTTTTAACAGAAATCTTTTAACCTATTTTTTTTAATTTTCTGAAATTTCAAAAGCAAATAAAGAATTAATTTGGAGTAGAATATCTCAGTCAGTCAATTCATAACACTTTTATGTAGTTTGGAGTATAATAAACTCATGTGGACACATAGCCACGCACGCATGCGCATACAGTGATAATGGCTTCAAATATTAATGCATGAGGATAAAACACTAAATGAAAAAATATATTCTCTATATCTAAGCAGAAAAGAGAAAAAAAGAATGATTGAAAAAGCTTTGAGAAGAAAAAAGATAACTAAATTTACATAATGTTATTTCGTTAGCGTGGAAAAGCTGATAAAGGAACTGGAACAGAACTGGAGTATTCTTTTCGAAATCAGTTCAATTATCTACTAACTAGTTTAGGCGTGTCGTCAAAATATGACGGTGTTTTAAATATAGTTTCCCCTTTATTATTGTTCAATCACATAGTCAGTCTTCTAACCACACGATTTCATTAAGCATTTTGAATCAGTCTGCCATCGTTATTAGAAAGATACTGCCATCTTGCGTCATCCAAGGGACATAAATCTTCATCTTACTGATAACTCCAGTACAGCAAAACGTTACAGGCATTACAGACAAACATAATTTTGGCTTAGCGTATTGCAGATTAAGATAACTGATTCAAAAAGGATTGATTACTGCATTCTATTCAAGTTTGTGTTGATCATAGAATAAATGGATTAAAAAAAAATGATCTTACTGCTTCACACCTTTATAAAATCATGTAAATTTTCTCGTATATTGTAATGGCTAACAAGCTCGTCTTGCTAGAACAATTACGACTGAATAGTGAGTTCGATCCTCAATAGGTGTCCTGTAATCTTGGCCTTGCGCACAGCTATGTTTAGAAAATCACCAGTGGTTAGATGGTTTAATGTTTAATGCCATACCAATATTCATCTTGGACATCTGGGGCCAACATTCACCTATCATCAGGTGGAGAATCACGGTGTTACACTTGATCAGACGTCTAAAAAAGGCTTTTATTGTGAGACGGGAAACTACCTACACAATAGACTCTTCCAAGCCTATATTAAGTAGGCGACATAGCACTCTACAGAGTGACAGAGAGTGACAGTGAGAATCTAGTACGACTACCAGTGTTGGACACTAACTTATAGTAAGTTCTGCTTACACTATCTCTGTAACTTGTTGTTAATATATCTTTCTTACATCTAATTCGTGTTCCGTGTTTTACTTCTGTGGTCACAACTTTGGCCCTACATCAGTGGCGACGAGGATTCTAGAAACGCACTCACAGCGGAACCTAAATACCTTACCAATCCCACATCTGTGTCGACGAAGAATTCGAGAAAAGCATTCACGTCGAAAACCGCAATACCTTGCCAGTCCCACATCAGTGGGGACAGAAACATTCGAGAATTTCGTTCTCACCATATCAATAGCGACAGTACTCAAAAAATACACAAACTCCACGCGTTCCCACAGCAGTGTTGAACGTGAAATTAAGCTGGTATTAATACATTAAGGATTTAAAAGCTAAACACCCAGCGTCTATATATATTCCAATACCAAACACCATTGACGAACTAGCGATTCGACATCTCCGGAATATTAAAGGCTGTCCAAAATACGAGAACGATTTCTACACACCCCCACACACAGGAAAAAAAAAACAGTTGTTCGTAAAACAAACTGACAATACAAGAGCAAGTACTACCATTATATTCAAGTTTTCGGAAAAGACTATCGAAAATGTTTTTATGTAACTGAGTTGAACTAGGGCATAAAAAATTATTCTCCCCTCAAATTCACTGAGGTGAGTTTTCACTTTTTTGTACCTCTATAATATATATATATATATATATATATATATATATATATATATATATATATATATATATATATAAGTGTGGTAAAATTGATACAATAACGTTAAAATTAACGGAACCACGGGAATTGCAAAAAAAGCTAAAGCATAATTAGTTTAGTTTAACTAATGTCTGTCTATATTTTCTTTCTGTAAAAGAAAAAAAAAGAACAAAAATCTATCAAGTTTTTTTGTGTACCTTCTCTTAGTACACGTGTTTCAAAGCAACAAAAAAAGCGCTGTCATTTTTAAATATGGAAGATTTGCAAAAAGTAGTTGCCCAAATGTTAAAACTAAATTTGGATCAGCAACAAAAATCAGAAGAAAGACAACAACGATTTTTTTTACATAAACAACACAGGGAATTCTAAAAAACTACGCTTCAGAATGCTGAACTACAACAGAAACAACTTAAAGAATTACTCGTAAATGCATTAAAAGCTCAAACTCTGAAAAAGATACAATATTCTCCCAGAGTACAATCTACAATTCAATGGAAACCTTTGAATACGTACCAGAGGAAGACAAAACGTCCCAGGCTTTTTACAGGCGCTACGAAGATATTTTCAACGTAGACTGTGAACAATGGCCCAGTAAAAAAAAAAAGGTACGTCTTCTATTGAGAAAACTGGAAACTACAGAACATAGTAGGTTCGTAGACTTCATACTACCCAAGAAAACGACTGACTTGGATTTTTCAGAGACTATTAAGCTCCTTTCGGAACTATTCGGGCCTAACACAACCTTGTTCCACAAACGTTGGAAATGCCTGAACACAGTCAAAGACAACCAGAAAGATTTTCTAACGTTTGCAGCATCGGTAAACAAGCTCTGTAATGATTTAAAACTAGTCGAACTGACTGCCGATGATTTCAAGTGCTTGGTTTTCGCACAAGGTCTAGTATCAACAGAAGACGCCGAAGTCAGAAGACGGGTACTGACCAAGCTTGAGAACGAACAAGGATTGATCTCCAAAAACTGACAGAGGACTGTCAAAGAGTAATATCTGTAAAGTGTGACTCAAACACTATCGAGAGATCAAGGGTGGCTCAGATTAATAAAATCAGAAGCAAGTCGACCTCCTATTCCCCTCAAAAAGACAAAAGGCAAATCTCATGTCCTAAATTATGCAGTAACCAAAACCCAAATAGGTTAAAGAAACCGCCCGGACCATGTTGCCATTGTTGTAAATGGCATTGGATG